TGTGTGTGTGTGTGTGTGTGTGTGTGTGTGTGTGTGTGTGTGTGTGTTGATTACCTGAGGTAGAAGCTCTCTCCGTACGGTAGAACAGAAAAGGCAGCACACAGAGACCTCTTAGCACAGATCAACACGATTCTGAAACAAACGCAATCATGGTTTGTTAACAAGTGTCTGCCTGACTCAGTTTGTACAATCAGAACTAGGGTTGGGCGATATTGGCAAAAAAATTACAATTAATTGTGGTATTTAATTTAATGATTAATCCCCTGGAGTCCCTGGACGCCTGCATGTCCTAGTCCATGACCAATTTAAATCAGTCTAGGGGGAAAGATTTGCTCTCTGTAGGAATCTGTTCCAAATTGTGTCAAAAGTATAGACTTCAGGTTATACATCAATTTTTAAATTGTGTTGATAGACTAAGTTTAACTGGAGTTATGATAAATTAATTAACTAATTAAAAAAAATCTGTTATATTTGAAACGGAGAGAAGCATCTATTGGACTGACCAGGGAAATCCCCAGTAATCATATTAATCAATAGGTGGCAAAAAAATAATCAATGAAAGTTTTTCTGATGATTAATTGCAAACGATACAATTTTGCCCAAGCCTAATCAGAACCTGGACTCAGCTGGTCCACAGCAAGGCGGACAGTCTCTGAGGAACAGCAGCCTTTAGTATTTCAGGAACCTAAACTCCAAAGAAGAGTTGTGTGTCTGTGTATTTTGGTTTGTTTACTGCAGTAGTTCTTTCTCAGGGGCATTTTTGGCTGCTTGTCAACAAATGTCCGTTCAAACCGAACACGTCTGAAGAGGGAGGAGTGTCTTGGTTATTTTTTTCCGGTCTGTCTTTAATGACGGGTGAAATAAARATAAAATAAAGAAAATGGCTTTGCTTTATTTACTAAAGAGCAAGCGAACATTGCGCACAGCAGATAATTAATTCACCAGATAATTTAGAGGCGCTCTGACCAGCAAGATGACGGACCTTTTTTTTTTTCAGACCAGGACCAGACTAGAGGCGCGTAGAGGGAGGAGCATCTTGGTTTTTTTCCRGTCTGTCTTTAATGATGGTTGAAATAAAGATAAAATAAAGAAAATGGTTTTGTTTTATTTACTAAAGAGCAAGCGAACCTTGCGCACACCAGATAATTTAGAGATGGTTTGTTCACTTCAGTTCTCCAATAAACCATTTATAATTACTAATATATTGCATGCCTTCTTACAGAAGCCCTACCATAAACATATGAAAAATGACCAAGAAGCAGCAGAACTTGCAATCCACAAAAACTTTTTATTTTAACACCATGAGTCAAAAGTCTCTTCTGTAAATCACTTCCTCAAAGCGCGACATATATTGACAATGATTAAAAGCAATTTGTCATGTCACTAGTTGGCAGTACAAGAATGGCTCATGTTATCACTGGAAACAAAATCTAGTGAACTCTGAGGCAAAGTTACACATTAGAATTAGCTTCTGCTAAGATTCTTTTGTTACGTGTGCTTTAGAACTTCTGTAACTAACTTGAATTAGTGCTGCCCACCACTGAAAACTACAAATATTAAACTACAATCAAATACATCATGATGAATAAATAAACACAAGAAACACTCATAGAAGGTAAGGTATGACTAAAATAGAGCACAAAATCAGTGAAAACATTTACAGTCAAATGCCTCTTGCACAAACTGTTAAAGAATGGCCCTAAAAACCTTAAAAGAGACCCAACTCCTTCAACTTCAAGTCTTTCTGCAGTAGATTATTCCAGTCTGAGGGAGCAGCAAAGTGGAAGGAGCTTTTGCCATATAAATAATCAGAATAATTTACTGATCCCCGAGGGAAATTACAGTTATTACAGCTGCAACATTCATGTAAAATAATTAGAGAATAAAAGATAAGCACACTATAATAAAATTAAGTATAAACACTGTGGAGAAAACCAAAATACACACATGTACATGTAAACAGTATAAGATAGGAATATAAAAATTTATGAAATAGCAATATGGTTAGGTAAAAAGATCCCTTAAGGGATAAGATGATATAAGAAGAGATGATCTTAAGGGATATTGCAAGTTTGAGTAAAGTATCCTTGATAAAACAAAATCCACAGACTTATTAAAGGGACAGACGATCTAAGATTTTACATGTTAAGGGATAATTTAGAGTTTGATAGACACTGGTAGGATTGACCTCCTGTGACAGTGATGCATTTTGGTGGAATGAGTCTTACTGAATGTGCTTCTGTGACTCGTGGTGACCACTGTCCATGATTCCCTGCAGCTTTGACAGTGTCCTCCTCTCTGACCCTGTCGTCAGAAAGTCCAGCTCTCTTCCCACAACATCTCCTGCCTTTCGGATCAGCTTGTTGAGTCTGTTGGCGTCTGCCCCCTCAGTCTGCTGCCTCAGCATAGAGGATGGCACTCGCCACCACAGGCTCAGAAAATCCTGAGCATTCATCCGGGAGCTGTTGAAGKACCTCAGATGTCTCAGAAAGTAGAGACGACTTTGGCCCTTTCTGTAGATGGCGTCTGTGGTTTTAAACCAGTCCAGTCTATCGTCAAAAGGTACCCACAAATATTTGTAATCTTCCACTATCCACGTTGACCTCCCTGATGGACACAGGGGTCATTGGTACCTTGTTCCTCCTCAGGTCCACCACCAGTTCCTTAGGTCGTACGAACCAGAGTACATTTCCAGCGTTGGTCCGGACCTTTTGTGCAGGTGTGAATACACTCATGCGAACTCTGGTGCGGATCAAACAACCAGACCGAGACCTGCTTAGGTGGTCTCAGTTTGCTTCCAAACGAACTCTGGTGCGGTTTGCTTCTGGTGTGAATACAAACCGGACTCTAACTGAACCAACTGCATTAAACATGCACCTTTTTGGACTTCACAGGCCACCGTTGCTGAGCTAAATAAACTGAAAACATACCTGTTTCGTCGTCTCCTATTAGCAGCTCTACTGCCGGCATGTTGTGGGTCAGAACACACAGCGCACCTCGTCTCCTTTGGGTTGCAGGACATATTCTTCTGACATTTGAAATGCTATTGCAGTTGTACTATCAGCAAAAATGTGYGCATCAGAACCGCAGCATGCAGGACTTCCTTGTTTTCTTCTGGATCTGTGGCTCAGTCCCGCCCCCGTCCTTTTTTTGTCCAATGGGAGCAATGATCGTCACACTCGTGGCTTTGTTTACCAGTTATAGTTCATTTGCAAAAAAGCACTATGTGAATGCAAACTGCACCAAACGAGAAAAAAAAAAGTCCATTTTTGGTCTGGACCAAACAATTGGACCAAAGGACTTTCCTGGTCTGAATACACCCTTAGTCTTTGTCAAGGTGAGCTGTAGATGGTTCTGCTTGCACCAGGAGACAAAGTCCTTAACCATCGCCCTGTACTCTTCCTCATCACCTCTGCTGATACATCAACTGATGCCAAGTAATCAGAAAACCTCTGAAGATGGCAGATCTCTGTGCAGTTACTGAAATCTGTGGTGTAGGGTGTTAAGAGGAAGGAAGAGGACAGTTCCCTGTGGGACTCCAATGTTCCTGAGCAGTCTGTCAGACACACAGAGCTGTAGTTGTACATACTGTGGTCTGCCAGTCAGGTAGTCCATAATCCAGATCCAGGTATTTTATATCTGGATGTATGCATATATACATATTTATTTTTGTTAMGTTTTTTTTCTCCACATTTTGGGAGGATAAAGAACTTCCTGCAACTGCAAGAAATGTTTACAAACCAAATGCTCAATTTATTATAATTGTCCAGAAAATGTTTCCAAGTAAAGACAGCACACCTGCGTYTGTCAGCAGAATGCTAGAGACTGAACCATCATGATATCACCTTTGACTAACAGGATGTATAAAAAGACCCTGCAAACAAGTAATAAGTTTAATTCATTTTTATACTTCTAAAAAAACAATAATAATAATAAAAAAAAAAGTTTTTCTGAGTGGACAACACTGATTTACTCCCAGGACCAAGCTGCTAGGTTGAAACAGAACCTCAAGTCTCAAAGTGCTTTCTGGGCATTTACTTTCTCCTGAAACAAACAGCAACACTTTCACCAAATAAAATAAATCAAATAAATATATTTGAGTGAAATAAATCAGGCATTGTTTTGGTTTTTGGTCACATCAGAAGGAATTCAGATGTTTTCATAGCCGTGATTTGAACTGGCTGCTCCAACCTGCTGTCTGTGGTTATGTGTATTCACTGGAAAGGTTAACACACTCCTACACAACAACTAAAAAAGCATTTAAACTTGGCTGCAGCAGTGGAACTATGAGGGCTATATTTAAACTCTTATCTTTAGATTTTCTCTCGCACAACAAAAAGACACGCACAAGAAATAAGGCAGGTGAAATACAATCAAATCTAATTATAGAACAACTGATGTCGGACAGAAAAGGTTGATTTTGATTTAAAAAGAGAATTTTGCATTAACTGCTTATCTTCTGGTACAAAACAAATCAGTTTGTGTCTGAGCCTCACCTGCTGCCTCTGGTGTCGTATTGTTTCATGTTTTTGATGAAGTGGATCTTCTTGGTGTGCTGAGGTCTTGGAGAACCACCAGAAAGGTTCCGACTTCTGCAGATACAAACAGGAAGACAAGAATTTTTACTAAATTGTAACCAGAACATCTCTGCAGAAAAATTGAATTGAATACAACCTCTGCCTAAAATTTCAACATTCATAAAATTTCTTCTTTAAAGCTTAATAGCAGCATTCGCACTATTGTTTTCCTGTTTTTAGTTTCTTGCAGATATTGTCTGCAACCAAACTACTTTTTTGTGTCATTTGTGCTTTTGTAATAATTCAAATTTCAAAAGATATTGCCTCATAATAAAGAGCCATGACTTTTGGATTTCATAACTTTTACACTGAAAAATACTGTATGTAATACAATTTAAAATTAAATCCCTCCTAGAAATGCATGTAGATCTCTTAATTTCCTTTTAAAAACTTTCTGCTCTTTCATTAAATAGCTCCATGAAATGGCACAGATCACAGCTCATCTCTTAGCTCCATCTGCTTGTTCATAATCACTGATGGAGTTGATCATGTCCTGCACAGAAGTGAGCTTTCCCAAATGAAGTGGGTAGTGACGAACCAAAAGATGTGTAGAGCTTAACTCAGCTGAACTGAAGTGGAGCGCTGCCCGTTAAAGTGTATCTTAGTGTAGTGTATCTGTGAAAGGATAACTCCGCCCCAAGGCGAAATTTGAAAAATGCATCAAAGTGGGTAGGGGAGGGGGTGTGGGTGGGGGGGTTAGAGAGCGGAGGTGTGGCCAGGACGAGAGAACGTGACAGGTAGCATTAGCATAATTGATGCTACATGGAGAGTGACCACAGTATCGCAGACAGTTACATCTCTGAACGTCTGAGGTGGAGGATTTTCACCCCACACCAGCACCGGACAGAGGAGGAGTAGCGCTCTGACAGCCTGACAGAAAAAAATAAAAGCACCCGCGGGGAGGGGGTGGGGGGGGGACATGAAAGCGCCTGCTGTGAAGCAGGAGGAAAGGAGAGGGGGAAAAGTAACTTATTTCTAGAGGTAGAACGGGTTGGAAG